AAAAAAAGGCAGCAGTTAGTTCATCTATTATGTAGATGCTGTTTTTAGTTTGAAAAAAAAAAACAAAAAAAATATATGTAGCAGCACTTGTTCGTCTGTTTAGTTGCTGTTTTTCAGTTTCACAAAAAAATAAAGTTCGATCGTTTACTGTCACTCTGTTGCCTACCCAAATAAGCTGTCCAATTGATTATGTTCAATAAAGCCCCCCCAACACACAAATGCACAAAAATTTCCCCAATTCCATCTCACCATACACCGTACCCAATCAACTAACCCTAACTTGACTTGCCCAGCAACCCCAACCCAACTGCCCATACGCCCAACCTGCACATACTTCTGACCCAGTCCGAATAATCTCAGCCTTACTACAACTTACACAGCTAAACATGGCCAGGCCCAAATCCATAACTCTTTGCCCATTAAACCCCGTAAGCCCTCTTCCACATTCATCGATGACTGCACCACCACATCCAATCTGACCTGCAATCACCGGCAACTGTCCTCCACGAACCAGTTTCACAAAACAGTCACTGACTCCAAAGACCCACCTGCCACTGCGAAAACCACTGATCAACATAAACCTGTCACTTTTTTCGTCATATACATAACTTTTATTCCATAACTACATTATACCCCACTTCTCAGTCGCTCCATTATTGTCGCCGTCGTCGCAATTAAACACCCTATCGCCGTCCGGTTAAACCAAGATCGGAATGTCTTCCCAAACACTTCGAGTACATCTTCGCCTTCCAATTCATATCACCGGCTAAAACATCGACCCGAAACCGAATTCTAAACTTTCACAACCATCTAGTGTACACACCGGATCTCACATCCTGCCTGCTACACCGCCACAACCATACAATCCCCCACCACCTGGGAGTTATAAATACAAACCCCCTATTCCGGTCGCCACCAGCAGAAAAGGGATATAGGACATGGGCAGAGTCGTTCTATTATAGCCTCAATCTTCTTTGAGCCGGGTGTTTGTAGATTTTCACAAGTCACAACTATTTTTGTGCCGATTTGACGCTAAGGAGTTCCTAGAAAAAAGAAAACATTTGGATAGCAATCTGTGCACAAATTTGGGACTGGACTTGATGTGCACAACTAGCGAGCTCCATTTGCATCTCTTGAGGTATGCTAATTTTGTTGGTTTAAAGCTTTACATTCTATTAGGTGTTTGTAGCAGTCAAACCTCATCGAGTAATAGAAAAAAGTAGATTAAAAAAAATGTCGTATAATAGTTACAATACGTCCTTTAATTACTACAACGATCATGTAAAGTCATCTTCCACTTATCAAGACTATTATCCTTCGTCTAAGTCCTTTGATGAGAATGTATATTCTCTTTCTAGACAAGTTGCAATCCAGCTATGGGACTTTAATGGTCTCACTGGATCTGATTCATTTCTTGATTGGCTTGATAATTTATTTTTATGTCACAATTTGAGTGACTTACGTAAGATTTCAAAACATGTAAAGATAAAATTGAATAACTCACTTGACCTTATTGTTTTTGACTGGCCATTGCACTTAAATGAAGGTCTTGTTTTCAATTTAGCAGAATTATTTCCTTATTGGTGGACATTCTAGCCGTCTGTGTTGCATTTGGTTATTCCTGTACGTCAGTCTACTGTGCTAGTGCATCGTGCTTATAATGTGGATGCTGTGGTAACTTTGGTGGGTGAGTTGTACAACTTTCGTGGATGAGTTGTACAAGTTGTTGCTTATTGGATTTCATTTTTACTACTTGGTCAGAAGGAAAGATCACCCACCTTGGTTAGTTCTTGAAAATGTGTTTCAGATTCAGTTGTTGACATATGGATGCTATCGTTATTTGGTCAAGATAAAA